TATATAAATAAAGTTTGTGAAAAAATTCTATTATCTTTTCATAACATTTTTATATGAACTTTTGAAGGCCCCCCACATGTGTGTTTATTTATAAAATCATCTCTAATTTATATATAATCACTTCACGTCTATGACTGTACTACAGGTTCATTCTAGTTTAAAACTCTTGTGTGTAATCAAACTGATTCTGATTCACATCGACCCTATAAAAGAGAGCAGAACTGGCCCATAGGGTTTCCTAGGAACCCCTGTGCAGCGTGGCTATGGCTTGGAACCGACGCGATGGCACTAAACAACAACAACAACAGTTTTTACAAGAGCATATCACCACACCATGTCTCCTGAAGAGCAGCCAGTGTGTTTGAACTGCCGACCTTCATGATAACAACTGAATACTTAACCATTGTACCACTTGGGTTGCTTAATTTAACACTGGTGGTGGTGGTGGTATGTCTTGGAGTCGGTTCCGACTCACAGTGACCCTGTACAGGGTTTCCGAGGCTGTAAATCTTTACGGGATCAGAAAGCCTCATCTCTCTCCTGCAGAACGGCTGGTAGTTTCGAACTGCTGACCTTGAAGTTAGCAGCCTGATTCATAACCACTATGCTACCAGAGCTCCTTTAATTTAACATTAGTAGGATCCTAAACAAAAATTTAGCTTTCTGTGACCTCATTCTAACAGTCAACTATATCACTGGCCTATCATATATAAGTTATCAGTGGCCTACAATAATTTAGAAAACTATGGACAGAATAAGGGAATTTCATAAAATGATTACACTTAACTGTTTTTAATTTAGAGAGTAATCTTTTTCCTGTTTTGGGGAAGTGAAAATTTCTCTTTTTTTCCCAAAAAGACAATGATAAATGATATATATTTTAGTTGACAAACTTACATAAATTCCAATTGAAAAAAAAAAAAATCTTTCCTTCGTCTGGGAAATTGACAGGTCTGAAGTGACTATTCTGGTAGACATTAGGGAGCTCTCTACGTTAAAGTGGTTGTTAAGTTTTCTGGAGAGAAAATCTTTTCTGACACAACAAGAAAGTACCTTGAACGGGATGTTTCCCAGGTTTGGTATGTATGTATTCTATTTATATATGAATATGATTATAAGGCATTCCTAGGTCCTAGATGACCAAAAAATATTTTATATATTCATGAAACTGTATTACTAGGGCAGGAATGTACTCCAATTAACATTAGGAAGATTTTTTTTTTGAAAAAAAAAAAACCCCAGCTTCTGGTTATATCTAGGTTAACCCACGTATTCAATTAAAAAACCCCAGGAACTTTATTTCCCAGGGACTTTGGTTAGTACAATTTTAGGATCCTCTTCAATAAATTAAAGCAACAATGTCTTTCCAACACCTCCCCACTCACTTTTCTTTTCTGTATTTTGTTGATGCTAAGTGCCATGAAGTCGGGTAAGCAACCCTGCTTAGGGTTTCAGAGGAATTAAATCTTTATAAGAGTAGAAAACCTCATCTTTCTCCTGCTGAGTGGCTGGTGGACTTAAATCAACGATCTTCAGGTTCACAGTCCAGTGCTTATCCTAAGGAACCACTGCACTTTGTGTGGGACACAGAAATCCTGTAAACATCCCTCCATCTACCTCACAGATGTGGCCTGATTACTCAGGCAGATTATGTGTCCTGTGTCTACCTGGGCCCTTAACATAAACAAGGAGTATGTCAAAGATAAAGCTTTGAGTAACTGGTATAGCCTCACTGGAACAATATCCCCATCTGATAACTTGCTGCAGACAGTTCTTTGAAATAAGGATATGTATATTTACGGACCAGCAAATACCATTTTCTCTGTGTTGCAGTAACTCACGTGTAAATAGTTATTAGCTGTGATAGTTCTGACTTTCTTGCCTCTACTGAAACCCACTTCCCTAATTTCATTGGCAAATTATCTAACAGATTATAAGTATCTGCAGTTACAAATGGCACGAATGCCCACTGAATGCTGCTGTCTTTAAGGATCTCGAGATAGACATCAATTTAGGGATCAAGTCACAATCAATGATGGTAATGATTTTTATCTACCCATCTGTCCAAGTATCTGAAAGGAGCCTATCTACCTGGCGTTTGCTCACACTGTGATAACACAAAACAGGCATTGAATTCCTGGATAATGCTGCAAAATCACAGAGATTGTTATTAAACAAAAATATCAAAATGTGAAGCTATTGTTTCTTGACATATTCTCCATCTAGGTCTATATATTTCTGAAGGTAGTGTTTCTACCTATCTAACCCTTTCCTGCAAAGTCGGCTTGAACTACAAGGTTGACAATTCAAGTTCACCAGCTGCTCCTTGGGTCACAACCGACTTGATGGCACTTAACAACAACAACCAGGTGGCATCATTGATGGTGTCAAGTGTGGCAGCGGTAGTGAGGTTGGCCCAGGATTGGACATTGTTTCGTTCTGCTGTGCATGGGGTCGCTGTGAGTCGGTTCCGACTCGATGGCACCTGACAACAACAACAACCCTTGCCTGAAGACTCTGCACTTTTCTATTTACACCATGTCAAAATAGCAATTTGGGCATTGTCAAATCATATTCCTTTTCAATAGTCTTTGCTCTGGCAACAAAATGAAGTCTGAAGAGGCAAGATAAGGGCTGTAGAGTAGATGGGACAAAGTTTCCCGATGAAATTCTCATAGAACAGCCTTTGCTACGATCAAGGAATGAGCAGGTGGTGCATTGTTGATGGGAACAAAATTCCTTGGTGAAACTTTTCTTGCTTTTTTATCACCAAGGCACTTTCCTATTTTCTTAAAATTTCGTCATAATAAGCCTCTGTGATCATCCTGTTTCCTTCATGAATTTATTTCAAGATTTGTTGTTAAGTATTGTTGAGTCAGTACCAACTCATAATGACCCTGGATAGGGTTTCTGAGGAGCGGCTGGTGGGTTTGAATCACTGACCTTCCGGTTGGCAGTCCAGTGCTTATCCTTTAGCGTCACACCAGGACTCCAAGACCCCAAAGCAGTGATCATAATGTCTGAACTGACCTCTTTGCCCAGCAGATTCCCTTGGAAGACACTGTTTTGGTTGAATCTTTTTATGGAGGTCACACTTAACTTGTTTGCAGCCATTCACTGATCACAGAAACATGTTTAAACATATTTTGTTTGTAAAAATGTTGTGCATGTTATAAACTGAAACCCTAGTAACAGTAGTTTTTATTTACCCTCATATAATCAATTGGATGAAATTATGAATGCTGAAACCTACATGTTGTTGTTGTCAGGTGCCATCGAGTCGGAACCGACTCATAGTGACCCCATGCACAGCAGAACGAAACAATGTCCGATCCTGGGCCAACCTCACTACCGCTGCCACACTTGAGTCCATCAATAATGCCACCTGGCTGATCCATCTTGTTGGGGGGTCTTCCTCTTTTTCTCTGACCCTCCACCCTACCCAGCATGACATCCCTCTCCAACAATTGTTTCCTCCAGACAATATGTCCAAAGTAGGAGAGACGAAGCTTAGCCATCCTGGCCTCCAAGGAGCACTCTGGCTGCACTTCTTCCAAAACAGATCTATTGGTTCTTTTGGCAGTCCATGGCACTTTCAGTATTCTCCTCCAACACCACAACTCAAAGGCATCAATTCTTCTACGATCTTCCTTATTCACTGTCCAGCTTTCGCATCCATATGAGGCTATTGAAAACACAATGGCCTGGGTCAGGCGCACCCTAGTCCTCAAGCTGACATCTCTGCTCTTCAACACTTTAAAAAGTTCCTGTGCAGCAGATTTGCCCAGTGCAATACGTGAAGCCTACATAGCAACGTAAAAAACTGGTTGAGGAATAATTTATGTATCATAAAACTTACCCTTATTAAAGTGGACAAATCAATGACCCTAGTAAGTATGCAGTGCATATAACCGTTACCACAATCTAATTTGACAGTGTGAACTGAGTGTTGCTGACCCCCACTTGGCACTATGGTAGTTAGTGGAGGGACCCAGTGTTTTGGTATGTGGAGTTAGAACTGCAATCTCAAGCTCATCCCCTCACCCCCATCCCTTTAGGAGGTCTAGAATGACCTCCTCAAGCAGAAGTTCTCCACCCTGGCTGTACACTGGAATCTCCTGGGCAGTTCACCATACTGATGCCTAGTCATCTCCACCCCCAGAGTTTCATTTAACTGGCCTGGTTCAGCCTGGGAATCTTTTAGAAATCTTCAGGTGCTTTAATTTGCAGCCAAGATAAAAACAAAACAAAAAAACACTCTTCTGAAATATTCAGTATTCAACCTAATACTTATTTTGCTATTTGGAGATAATAGCTGAGGCTTTTTGATACTCAGTGTTGTTTGTTTTTAAACTGTTGTTTAAAACACTAACAACACTAATGAGAGGAGAGCAGTTGCCCTTGAATACAGGAAGCTGGACAATATGGCTGGAGTCTCGTCCCCTTCCCCACTCAGGCAGCAGGAGTACCAGCAAGTCCACTCACTATTTGGCAATTTCCTCCGTTCACTTTTCTAGGAAGGTCAATGTTATTCCTTTCACTATGTTATCATATTTTGTTTCTGTGGTTTCATAATATTCAAAATCCAGATGTTTTATAATGATGGTACATTCTGTCTTACAAGAGATTTCTCTTTTCAATTCTCTAACAACACAGGTCCAGCTGACCTGGGAGGAGAGAGTTTGCAAGTGTACTGATTTGCTCTAAAGAAGCGTTTGTAAACTTTAACATGTTATCATCTATGGATCTTGTTAAAATAAGGATTCTGATTCAATAAGTTTGGGGTAGGCTCAAGATTCTGACTTTCTCACCAGTTCCCAGGTGATGCCCATGAACACTACTGGTCCATGAGCTACGCTTTGCCTAGCAAGGTCCTAAACTCGCTCTATCTTTTCATCTGACGCTATTCAACATAATGAAGGTCGGATAACTGAGGAGATGGTGTCATTTATAGACAGATTTCCTTTTTAATGAATTGCTCTGGTTCAGGCTTTTTGTGTAACCTGAAATCATCTTGATTCTCTGATTTTGTTTCCTTTTTAAAATGAAAAATAAAGAAGCTGTCTTCAACTTCTATAGTCCTTGAAAACATGAACATTCTTTTGCTTCCGAGTCTTCAAGCTAGTAATGAGGGCAATATCATCCCACCTTATATTGTATACTATGACACTTCAACTTTACAGTTCGATCTAAAATTATTATTTAAGTAGAGTACAAGCTACTTAAAAATTCAACAAATGAACAGATTATTTGATTTGTTGTATGCATTAAGCACTTGAAAGTGAGTATATTACTGAGGTAAGATCATTCAAGTAGACAACCTCCTAAAGACTGGGTTGTTAAAAGGATCTCTGTAACATTCTTCTAGCTGACTGACAGCTTTTGTTCCATATAAATTTCGAAAAATACAGAACCTAATCTGTTTCACATCCAAGGGGACTTCAAAAAGTGTGGGGAAATTCCATTATCTTTTAATTCTATTTTCCATGAACTTTTTGCAGCCCTCTCATATTAACATCTAGGACATTAATTATTGAGTAATTCTAAAAGCTGCTCTTTGAGCTTTTCAGAACACTCACAACCTACTGATATGATTGATAATCAAGTTACAAATAGTTAACGCTTCTAGTTGCTCAACAAAATGTGAAAAGTGTAAGTTCTACAGCCGTTTTGGAAGAAAGGCCCAATGAGCTACTTTTAGACTCAGTCACTAAAACCCTACGGAGCACAGTTTTACTCTGACACATACAGGATCCTCATGTCTTAGAATCAACTCCACAGTAACTGTTGTCTGTTATTTACTTATTTTAAATCAAGAAAATATAATTCTCCAGGTAAGGCGGTATGGTAGGTATATTCTTGATTTTCCAAGGCATATCCGAACAGTTCTTTTCTCCTGCAAATGCCCAACACCTTTGAGGCTCACAGCAACCCAAAATACCCTCTACCCATGATCAATGCTATCATCTGACTTCTATATTATCTCCACCACTGGAGACTTTGGCCCCCAGTACACATAGTCTTCCTGTCTATCCCAAGAGCTGTCATGTCATCTTTCTCCAGTACTTAGGTATCCAAGTGGATGGACTACTCAACTTCAAGGCCTCTTCTTTCCTTGACTTATTCCTCAAAGGCAGTAACTCTTAGCTTCCACTCCATCTCAGGCACTCTTGGATTATTCCAGATATCTCCAAGCACTATCTCTTAACCTTCCAGCAATCTTAATCAAATATTCACACTGACAAAAGTTATCTGATTGATGATCCTATTACTTTCTCATATTCCATTAACCTCCTCATGATTTCTCTTTCCTTTTTATCCACCCTAGATTCCTGTGTATATTTATTTAGTCACCCCTGTGAAAAGACCCTCGACTCTCTTGCTCTCCCCATCACATTCACTTGTCAAAACTCAAGTTTTGTGTCTGCATCCAAGTGAGTGAAAGTTGCTAAAAAAAAAAAAAGCCATACAACTGAGTTCATAAGTTTTACCTTAAATGCATAATCACCAGCTTTACCTACCAAAGACCCATGTGTCCACTTCTGCCCAGAAGACAGAAGAAAATAATATAACTCCCTTCTTCCTCCCAAGGGGTTTTGGTGATACCTTTTCTCTGAGACATCTCAAACTTAACAGGTTCAAACTGAACTACTTTTCATCCAGGCTCATTCCCACTTGCCCCAAATTTCCTCATTTCAGTTGCTCAACTCAGCAATGAGTCATGCTTGAGCCCTTGCTTTCCCACACTTCTGATGTTAACCATCACCAACTTCTGTTCTCCGGAATATTTCTTAATCTCTCTCCACTGATATCAGTCTAGTCTAGGTGTCTATCATTTCTTTTCTGAATTCTACAAATATCTCTTAATGGTTCACTCTACTTTCTCCTTTGTCCCTTTCCAAACCATTCTCCACAGCACAGCTAACATCATCTTAAAATGTAATCAGATGGTGTCACTCCTTTACCAAACACCTTGAAGCTAACATCATCTTAAAATGTAATCAGATGGCGTCACTCCTTTACCAAACACCTTGAGGGAGTGAATTGTTGAGCCTGAGGGTGCAGGACCATTAACAAAAAAAAAAAAAAAAAAAGGTTTCTAGCTGCACTTTGGGAGTCCTGGTGTGGCACTGTCGGATAAGACTTGACCACAAGGTTGTTGGTTCAAATTCACCAGCTGCTCACTGGAAACCCAATACAGGGTCACTACGAGTTGGAACCAATGGAAACCACTTACCAACAGCAACAAGCTGCACTTAGAGCTAAAATCATTTCCTTACCATGATCTAATAAACAGGCTTGAACTAGCTAGTCCCTGCTACCTTCTCCAAATTTATCTTCATCACCAATGGTCTAACCACACTTCAGTACCTGGAGTAGAAAAGATCTTACTCACCTTTGGGATTTTTCACATGTTGTGCCTTTCTAAATTTCGTAGACTAATACACTCCAGTTTTATACATTTGTTTTATTTTTCTTCTCAGTCCCTTGTTAATTTCCTTCGTAATTGTTTTAAACAATGTTTCCTTACCAGTTACTACCCACCTCCTAGCAAAAAATAATCCCTGACTTGAGGGCAGAATCACTTTTGTCTTGTTCATCATTGCCTAGAAAGTTTATGATACATAGTGAATACTAATGCAATCAACAGTCTTTGTTATGGGATGCATCAAAAATGTTGAGAGCAAAAGAAATGTAATAGGATTCTAGGTCCGATTCCTGGTTTTGCTGATTAAGGTTATGTGTGGGCCCAGAGGGGCTAGGTGATACTCAATGTCATGATTAATGGCCAGGCAAGGGATAAATGCATCACCTGATGGCTTGATCCTGTCCTTTTATCAAATCTGCAGTCCGAGTCTTTTAAACTTTTGGTGTACCTTCTTTTTTTACTTCCTAATTTATTTATGATTTATGATCCTTTCTTAAAAAATTTGTCTTCATCTGTGCCATTTCTCAGTACAACTTTACAGTATAATTTTGTTCATTCACAAGTACATTTTCTACTTGTGGCACCAATACAATAATAATGTGTCTTGGATAAAGCTTTTAATTTCCTTTCCGCATAATTTTTTAATTAGCCCAATTTATCATTACTGATACTGTCCTGTTCCCCTACCCCAAGGCTGACTAAGAGGCAGAAATGTGCAACTTACCAACGACTGCATATGTAGTTCAGTTTAGATGTCTAAATCTTCTGCAAAAATCAAGGGTGGATATTGTTTCTTTTTGAGAAAGTAAGTGTTTACCTTTAGAGCAAAAGGGAAAGATGCCGAGAAAACAAAATGAAAAAAAGCAAGATGTTAAGTACAGTCAAATAGGTTCTGATTTATATCGACCTTATATAGGGTTTCCATGGAGTAACTGGGTGGGTTTGAACCACCAACGTCGTGGTTAGCTGTCTAGTGCTTATCCTACAGTACCACACAAGGACTCAAATCAAGATAAGCACAATGGAAACTTAAAAGGGGGGAAAGTGTAAAAGTGTGTCTCTCTCAGGTGGTTCCTAAGAAAAAACGAAAAAGGTGGACGCTGTCAAGGGGCTTTGTTTAGTTAAGTGCGGTCAAGTCGGCTCCAACTCATTGAGACCCCCATATAGGGTTACCAAGGAGCGGCTGATGGGTTTGAATTGCCAACCTCATAGCAGTCTCCAGAGCTTTTTCCTACAGTGCCACACCAGGACTCTTCAAGGGCCCTTTGTTGTTGTTAAGTGCTGTCAAGTCGGTTCCAATCCATAGTGACCCTGTATAGGGTTTCCAAGTAGCAGTGAATGCACTTGAACTTCCGACCTTGCAGTTCAAACCGACTTTGCAGTTCAGTACATTAACCCACAGGAATATAAATTGTTTCTCTTAATTTCTCCTTCAACTGTTGTTAAGTGCCGTCGAGTCAGTCCCGACCCATAGCGACCCTGTAGAGGGTTTCCCAAAAGCAGCTGGTGAGCTTGAACTGCTGACTTTGCAGTTCAAAAGACTTTGCAGTCTGGCGCATTAACCCACGGCGCCACACCAGGACTCCGTGATGAACGATAATTAACCTGGATTGTTTTTCCATTTAAAAACTAACTGCCTGTGAGTAAAAAAGTGACACCGATACTTCTCCATGGGGTGAGAGAAATAATAAATGGAAATCTCTCGACAAAAATTCTCTTTATGTCTTTGCTCTACTTTAACAGCAAGATTTTTAGGGCATAGTTTTCAACAAGTTTTGTCTGAGGCTGAACACAAGGCTCAAAGATACTTTAGGATACTCAAAGAAGAGGCCAGCTAATTCCCATCACTCCTTGGAAACCCTATACGGCAAAGAGTTGGAGGGGATGTCTAGCCAGCGATGTTATTGTTGCTGTTGTTAAAGTGCCGTTGTGTCAGTTCTAACTCATAGAGACCCTATATAGGGTTTCCAAGGAGCGGCTGAACCCCCGACCTGAATGAACCCCCTGAGCTTGAACCCCCGACCTTGCAGTTCAAATCGACTTTGCAGTCCAGTGCATGAATCCACAGAGCCACACCAGGACATCAGCCATCAGATAAGGGGTGAGTTAATTACATATTCGATCCAATACAGCAAACTAATTTTTAATTTGATAATTTTGTATGGTCCACGAATGACGTTATAAACTTTGGCAGAAAAAGTTTCCCTATGCCTGCATGGAGTCCTGGTGTGGTGCTGTGGGTTAATGTGCCAGACTGCAAAGCCATTTGAACTGCAAGGTTGGCGGTTCAAACTCACCGGCTGCTCCTCGGAAACCCTGTACAGGGTCACTATGGGTCGGAACCGACTAGACGGAACTTAACAACAACAACACTCCTGCATAGGTCGCTATAAGTTGGAAACGACTCGAGAACACACAACAAGAATAAGTTGCATTTGTTGTTGTTATGTGCCGTGGAGTCGGTTCCGACCCATGGTGACCCTGTACAGGGTTTCCGAGGCTGTAAATCTTACGGGAGCAGACAGCCTCATCTTTCTCCCGCGGAACAGCTGGTAGTTTTGAACTGCTGACCTGGCGGTTCACAACCCGATTCGTAACCACTACGCTACCAGAGCTCCTTGCATTACAGGGTAACAAACAAAAATGACTACTTAGAAATAACTTACCTGTTTGCAAAGCAGTGCTGCACCACTGATTTCCAATGAATGGGCTGCACCAATCCAAAGTGGAATACAGTCTACGAGGGGGAGAAGGTAACCTGCCTGTCCTTTCCCTTTGGGGCGCATCCTACTTGGGACTCTGTCTCTCCTAGTCTCTTTTCCCGTGGGCCCAACCTCAGTACTTTCCGGGAGGTAGGGGAAGACCTAGAGAAACGGTGGAATGAATGCCTTTTACCACCACTCCCACCTCTGCACTCCTCGCCTCAAGGTGCCAGATCAAGGACCTCTGCCGGTTCAAGGTGGACGCCTGCAGAGGGCGCGGAATCCGAGGAAGATGCATGCAGCGCACGGCACCGAAGGCATTTTGACCCTCAAGTCGGCCACCACCTCCGCCACCTCCTCCCCGACTCGCTCACCTCTGGCCCTCCGCACCAGGGCAAGGCGAGCCTCGCAGCCCTCCGGGTTTAGCGACGATTCTCCAAGGGCCCACTCGGGCTCCAGGGCCTACGGACTGCGCCTCAGACCCGCGGCTGCGGGGTGGCTGCCACGCTCCAGTTGCTCCCCGCCTGCTAGAGTTGGATCGCTAAGAGCGGGAGGAGCAAGAAAGCGCAGCGCGCGGAGGCCGGGCTCACGGGTACGAGCCGCTGGGGGCGCGCACCGGGATGGCGCACGGCGCGGAGAGATGGGGAGCGCTGAGAGGAAGGGGCTGGGTGGAGCCTTAGAACGCGGGGGAGGAGCCATGGAGCTCGTAGGGGCTCTAGGGGAGAGCCTGGGGGCAGCTGAGGGGACTTGGAACTACCTTAGGAGAGCAAGCTGTGCAGGATGGAGCTGGTCAGAGCGGCTCCGCAGTTTGGCGCTGCCCCCTACTAGGACTAGCTGGATGCCCACCACTTTCCTGCTCTTCCTCTGCGGGGCTCCCCCGTGGTCTCCCACAGACTCCTTTTGAAGCAGCAGCTCTAGAAAAATGAAGCCTACTTTTTTATTCCACTGCTTTGGGGATGTATGGTCGCCTTTCTACTATAGACTTACTGTGTCCCTTCCCCACAACCCGTTTTCCACTTTCTCAAGGCTCTCAAATCCTAACAAATCTTGTGGTGGTGCTTACGTGCGCCGGAGTCGGTTTCGGCTCACGTATAGAGTTTTCGAGGCTGTAAATCTTTACGGGAACGGAAAGCCTGATCTTTCTCCGGCGAAACTGCTGGTAGTTTCGAACTGCTAACCATGAGATCAGAGCCTTACTTGTAACCACTACGCTACCGGAGCTAGACTTTTCGTGGAAGTAATCTTTACCTCCACCCACCCAAACTGTTTTTTAGCTGGATGGTGTCCCTGGAATAAAATGTTCAGAAATGCCCTTGTATGAACCACATTTTTTAAATGCCTTGATCAAGAGGACTCACACAGTCCACCACCGACTGTATGAATTAATCCGATTACTTTGACCTTCACTCTGCCTGGTGCTGTTGGGGAACAGAGGATTAGACCTGGAGTCATGGGGCCTGTGTTCTTCACAAAGCTCCTTAACTCCCCAGGCCGCCAAAGCCCTGAGTGTTAAGGTGCTCTCTGATCTGTCAGAGAACCATCAGCTCTGAGGTTCTGTGCGTTTTCTTTCAGCAGAGTACCAGGTAGTCAGGTATCCCTTATCCTTTATGTTCAAGTCGCCAGTAAAAGAAGCAAAATATCTTTATTCTCAATATTAAGATCAGTTTATCAAAAATTCTCAAATTGGGGAGACATTTCCTCCATATGTCAGTTAATGCCCACTTCAGCAAATTATCTCTCACCATGGTTTATTAACCAGGAGAGGAAAAAGAAACAAAAACCAACACACCAAGAAAGGGTCTTGGCTCAATCCTTGGGGACATTGCACTTTCTCCTTTGTAAACCAGACTCAGGTTAACCTTTGCAAATGCTCTCTTTGGAACTACTCCTACTGTACATATTTTGTTTGATCTGAAATGTACCTCTTCCATCACCACTATACGTATTATTTAGGTTTATGATTTAGCTAAGTTTTAGTGATCTGTCAGTCTGTGGAGGCATTGATACTATAGAATACTTCCTATTTGGGAACCTAGAAGAACAGTCATTACATTTTATAACAACTTTGATTATTTCAGCACGACTCTCACGTAATAAAATTAGTCTTTTTGTTTGTTTTTCCCCTAACACGTCTGGAGAATCAGTGGGGGAAATTCATAAGTCTTTGCAGATATTGAAAAGTGTGTAATTTTTCAGTATCATTTTTAAACTATAGCAGTACATGATTTTCAAAAGTGGGCCACTAAAAGATAATAGCATTTTTCCACTATCCCAAAACCACAAATTATCATATTAATTATATAATATGTTTATATAATTTATATTATGAGTAATTATTTTTATGGTTATGCAAATAATATATAATTATATATGCTTTATATGCAATTGTTTATTATTAAAATCTGTAGATACACCATCTTTTTAAAAACTAGCCTAATGTGAGAACTATCAATTCAATAATTTGCAATTTCCAAAAAGACTGTTTGCATTTCCTTCTTGAACTGATTAAGCAAATACGTACTTCTGGTAAAAAATCCCGTGTCACCAAATGATTTCCATATGAGTGTTGAGGTTGCAGCAGAACATGGCTTCTTTCAGCTCAGTCCATGGCAACTAGAATTGTTACTACTGTTTTTCATGCATAGAAATAATTTCACAAGACTTCTAGGTCATGAGGTGCTCTCTGTAAAACCCTTTCAGTTCCCTGAAGTAGTCATTGATCCCACAGATGCACAGCAACAATTTATTAAATGGATCTCTAGTGGCTTAGAGGTGGCAACATAGTTTTTTCTTTGAAGTTATTATACAATTGAGTAACTGTAGAGAGATCTTTCCCAAAGTGTGTAATTTCAAGGCCTTGTCCCTCCAGATGCCCCTGTTGTTTCACTCCAAAGTATTTGCTCTCTGCTCTGATTGGGGCACTAGGAACAATGGTGGAGAAAATAGATATGGTCACCCATTCTGATAGAACTTAATGGTTTAGAGGGGAATATATAAGCAAGCACAAATAAAAGTTATTTACACAAATAAAATGAGCATAAATTATGAAAATCTAAGGCTCTGTGAGAACTAGTAATAAGAGAAACCTCTTCATTTTAGAGATTTACCATGTACATTAATGGATCAAAGGCTTGGAGAATTTCTACAGTAAAGACATCTTAACCTATCCCCAACAAATCCCCAAAGTTGCTTTGAGCATTGGATTCTTTTTTGTGTATTTGAGCAATGTCTAATAAAATACAGAACCATTTGTGTGAAACACTGCTTTTTTGACATAAAAAATTAATAAACTGAATTTCTAACTAACATTACATTTATTTGTCAGCATGTAGTCACATATTTCTATAGATTTATAAACAGAAAAATAACCTATTGATTTTGTCTATTCAAAGAGAAACATCTATAAACATATTAAAATATATAAATGTCAAGCCAGATTTTTTGCTGTTATATTCCACCACACTTAACAATAACACTTAAAATATATTTGAGATTCTCTTCCTCTGCAGGTCTCAGCATGATGGCCATGGAGATCCTGAACCTCAAGGTGGCCCAAGCCAAGGTGGCACTGGTGGTCAGCATCAGTGTGGCCCGAAGACTGCACGTCATGCTGAAGACAAACCTAGGCCCCAAAGTTACTTGTTTCTGGTGCTAGAGACATCAAGCTACTAAAGTTGGTAAAGGACTGCTTCAGGAAATTCTAATTCAATAGCCAACAGCTTTCTTAATAGCAAAAGTAGCAATTGCCCAGGATGACATACCTGGTGTTCGTACTACTTCCAACAACTTGATCAATAGAGAGCTGTTGAAACAGGCAGACCGCTACATTTCTTTAGGCCTGCATCCCAGAATCGTACCTGAAGGATCTGAAGTTTCAAAAGAAAAGGCACTTCCGTTTTTGGTTCAAATCAATGTAAGCAAAGAGATGGACAGAGAAACACTTGACAGTTTTGGCCAGAACATCTCTACATACTAAAATTCACGCTCAGCTTGCTGATGTCTAAACAGAGGCTGTAGTTGAATCTATTTTGTCCAATAAAAACAAGATGAAGCCTTTTCGTGGTTGAAATTATGGAGATGAAACATAAATCTGAAACTGATACAACCTTAAGCAGAGAACTCATTCTGGACCATGGATCATGTCATCCTGATATGAAAAAAGAGTTGAAGATGTATACATCCTCACATGCAAGATGTCATTGTTATTGTTATTAGGTGTCATCGAGTTGGTACCGACCTATAGTGACCCTATGTGCAACAGAACAAAACCCTGCCTGGTCCTGTGCCAACCTCACAATCTTTGCTGCACAATCTTTGCTGCCACTGTGTCAATCCATCTCATTGGGGTCTTCCTCTTTTTCTCCAACTCTACATTTTACCAAACATAGTATCCTTCTCCAAGGACTGGTCCCTCCTAACTGTATGTCTGAAGTACAAGAGACAAAGACTGGCCATCTGGCTTCCAGGGAGCATTCTGGCCATACCTTTTTCAACTTTCACATGCATATGAGGTTATTGAAAATGCCATGGCTTGGATCAGGTGCATCTTAGCCCTCAAACTGATATCTTTACTGTTGAACACTTTAAAGAGGTCTTGTGCAGCATATTTGCCTAAAGCAATACACCATTTGCTTTTTGACTGCTGCTTCTAATGAATGTTGATGGTTGATCCAAGCAAAATGAAGTCTATGACAACTTTAATCTTTTCTCCATTTATCATGATGTTATTTATTGGTCCAGTGGTGAGGATTTTTGCTTTCTTTATGTTGAAATGCTACCCATACCAAAGGCTATGGTCTTTTATCTTCATCAGTAAGTGTTTTAAATCCTCTTCACTTTCAGCAAGCAAGGTTGTATCATCTGCATATTGCAGGTTGTTAATGAGTCTTCCTCCAATCCTGTTGCCACATTTTTCTAAATATAATTCAGCTTCTTGGATTATTTGTTTAGCATATAGACTGAATAAGTATGGTGAAAGAATACAACCCTGGTGCACACCTTTCCTGATTCTAAACCATTCAGTGTCGTCTTCTTCTGTTACCTCTTAGTCTATGTACAGGTTCCTCAAGAGCACATTAAATATTCCAGAATACCCATTCTCCGCAATGCTGTCCATAGCTTGTCATGATCCACACAGTCATAAGCCTTATACATTAAAATATATAAAGCACAAGCAAAGTATCTTTCTGATACTTTCTGCTTTCAGTGAAGATCCATCTGACGTCAGCAATGATATTCCTTGTTCTACGTTTTCTTCTGAATCTGTCTTGAACCTCTGGAAGTTCTCTGTCAGTGTACAATTGCAGCTGTTTTTTAAATTATTTTTAGTAAAATTTTGCTTGCATAGGATATTAATAATATTGTCAGATGATTTCCACATTCTGCTGGAATAGGCACAAATATGGATCCCTTCCAGTCATTTGGCGACGTAGGTATCTTCCAAGTTTTTTTGCCTAGATAAGTGAACGCCTACAGCATTACATCAGTTTGTTAAAAGATTTCAA